GCTGCGGATTACGTTCACAACCATCTGGTGTGCTTGGATCATTAGTTTTGTAGCCTCGGCTATTACCTTTTTATTGAAGCGACACGGTTAGCCGTGTAATCGACTGCAGAACGACGTCCGTAGTGTAGAGAGCCTCACGGACGTGGGTTTCTTCACCACTATATGCCGGTAGCTCGGACACGCCGTGAACGAAACTGATTCTTCTGTCAATCTCCGTATGCTAGTCGTCTGAATTATGTTTGCCACATAGGTATTCGCTCCTTGGAGCATCCGTTAATATGCATATCCCGCTGTCATCAGACCACAGGCGGTGTGCCGACAAAAGCACTGTCTCAATGTCATCCATGGAAGGCAATGTCACTCGTGTTAACCGTGACTCACCCTAACTCGCCGATTTTGAATGTCTAGTGATGCGCGTTATATTAGCCTGCCAGGCCCAAACCTCCACTTGTTCATAAAAGAAATTCCACTGCTTCAAATCATCCTGCTGTGTACCCGTTAAGTATTTTGCATGGGACTCAGAACGTTGGTGCACATGAACGTCAGTGCACCGTTATTCCATCTGGCCTTTCATTGAATGGGAGGCACGACTATCGAGGGTTTTGGTGACGTTTCTGCAGGTTGCAACTGGTCCCTGACTCGCGTTGTGACTGTAGAGGATGAATCTACTGTATTTGCAGTTTGATTACATAGCACAGCAATGGTTGTGTAAATGGCTCGGCCTTTAGAGAGCTTCGGTTTTCGTCGGTCAATCGAAAGTGTTGGTGCCACCGATGTTGCGTTAGTCGATACATTGGATAACAAGAGGTGCGTGGTAAAGCCGCGCATTCTGCAACCGTTCATGATGTCGTGTTAGTTCATGGTTCCCAAGATTTCCGTTACTACGAGGCCTTGGAAATGCCTTGCCCACTTTTGGGTTTTAGGGGTAGTGAATGAGGGAGACCGATGAGGTACAAGCTGTCCTGGCACGAAGCAATATTCGCCTTTAATCCATGGTAAGTGTCAGCGAACACGGTGTCTTGTTTCTGCGATTATACTAGTACACATTTTACATGTGAAACCGTCGTACACTTAGGACGGAACCGAAGTAAGCCTGCATACTGTTATACTTCTTGTTAGATTCAACCGACTCAGATCTTCTTCAGATGTTAACTGCTAATGCAGTGGGAACATTCGAGTACTACTTTCACCACCTGTTTGATTAGTACAATAACCTTGTTTCGGGTTACAATTGTCGTAGGCATAGTGGTCTAATGACCATTGCCTGTTTTACGAGTTATCAGCGTCTCGCCATTGGCTAGCATTCGGTCCCCGATCGTCAGGTCAGGGGCACATGCTTGGCTCAACGTACTTTGCGTGTTCCGTCCATGCGTCATACGATCGCTGGTAGAGCGTCTAGTGGACATCATTATCGTGCCAGACAGGTGGATTGATCGCACCAATCTTGATGATCAGCAGCTGTCATCGTGTTGAGGGCAAGATCACGCGGTTCCCTTCGTTCTTGTGTAAGGGTCCTGTCTATAGACTTTCATTTGGCTTGCGTGTCGAATGTGTCATCGTGCCCATGAGACACATCTCACAAGCGTTTAATAGAGACTTTTTGTTGCTGGCCTATGGATCACCCCAAATTCTACTTACCGAGACCTGTAGCTGCTCCACATCAGCTTGAACTTGGAGGAATGAGAACTTGTTCGAACTCAGTGAAATTGCTCTGTCGACTGCAACCAAATGTTTGAGCGTGGATTTCGGTGAAACACTGTCCGGAATTTACACTTCTGGGTAAATGTGAAATGCATTGATTGTGTTATCGAGAAAATGGTATCACGAGGTAGAGCTTGTAAAAACAACCCGAATAAATATAGATCCCGTGGCGTGTGGCCAAATACGGTTGAGTAACAGCAAAAAACCAAGTGTGTACAAATGCACGAAACTCATCTCCATCTATTTTGCCTTGGACTGGTTGAAGTTACGGACAGATCCTTTGATGGTTGCTATGGGAGTCTATGTCATCACCCACAGATGAATCAGTGATCCATTGCTAATAAGAGGGAAGTAATTTGCCATTCAGCAAATAAATACTTGTGGTACGTACTTTACTGTTATTTCACTACCTTCACAACAAAGCAGCAAATGCGAAAAATAGAAAAAGCAGCTAGTTTGCCGATTTAAGAGTGCAGGTGACGAATGTATATCTATTCATGCATGCCCCCTGTTTGTCATTCATGGAGGTTAACCACCTGAGACAGGTTACATCAGTCGACGCAGGTGGAATGTGCTGCAATTTGCTTCACTTGATCAAAAATTATTGTATCCGATTCCACAGGTTTCGAATAATCTGCCTTGAGTAATTATCTTATCCCCAGTGGGACTCGGTACGATCATCACGTGTGATGGTTCAGCAGCGCGAGAGGGCTGGATGGTCGCCGTCGCCACTGAACTCATCTTTCTTGAATTGATAGGACTAGAATTTGCTGTACTAAGAAAACGGGCAAACGAACGCTCACTGACACTCTTTTCTCGTCTTCTCGTCTCGTCGCGCTGCAACATGCCACCTTTACTGGATACCTGGAGTAGGTTGCACTGATGGTATCGGGTACTTAAGGAAAAACAGAAATTGCCTTCAGTACCCTAATAATAATGCCACCTTGTGGCTATTTCTTTCATTGAGCTATCCACGCTTGCAAAAACGGCGTTCTAAGATGGCGCAATTTCTCTTAACAACCATCCATATTACATCGGCAAGTCACATGGCTGCGTTGATGCATCTCGTACTACTTCTTGTGAGAACGTATTCCACTTCTAATTGGAGGGTCAAGCTTGGACTACACGTTGTGTGATTGGATTGCGACGCGCAATCTTAATGTAATGGACTGTGGTTCACATTGAAGTGAATCTTAGTCACGGCGATCACTGAGACCGTACTCAAAGCAGATGGAAATTGGATGTTGTTCACCCGGTCCCAGTGATCGCCATGACTAAGGTTCACTTCAATGTGAACCACAGTCCATTACATTAAGATTGCGCGTCGCAATCCAATCACACAACGTGTAGTCCAAACGTGACCCTCCAATTAGTCATTACCGTTGTGCCAAGCGTTGCCCATGGTGACCCGGTAGCCAAAGGGGTAGAGGTTTCGGCTACTATTCCAATGGTCGCGGGATCGAGGCCTGCTGTCTCCACCTGATGAGATGAAATTACATCGAAACACGTCGTGGTTGTGCAGTGTTTTCGGGTGGGCAACACCCATATTCCATTTCTAGTTTCCCACACATAACTCATGGTTCTGTCACCGCGTCGTTCCAGGTTATACTTACCCAGTTTACATAGTAAGATACCGGTTTTTGAACTGTTTACTTCAACCACAGTGCTCGTTTCGGAATGCCTGCTCCAAATTGGGTTTAAACTACCACACACAGACGGATGCCTGCGACGTTTTTACTCCTATATATATTGTACTAGTGCTTTTGCCTGCACAGTTACTCGCACTCCAGCGCGGAACGCAAAACAATTCACTATACCTTCTTTTCCACACCGTAGCCTTATTTGCTGCCTGAATAGCATAGCGTTCATGTAAGGGAATGAAGGTCGTGAGCCTAAGAGTAGACGATTGCCTTCGCCTAATCCTCCACCGTACGTGACACGTTGGTGTACACGACAGAGCGAATTTGCAAGGGTGCAGACCATTATTATACGGCACAGAGCATAACCCAAATGATCAGTTACATTGGAGTTGGTAATGTTTTTTGACATTCCTCATGCACCTGTCACGATCTGCTATTCTTTTGCTTACAGCTAGAATTTAAGCTCCCAGTCAGTGGCTTCAACTGGGTATTTCTTATTTACAGCTCGAGTTGTTCTCCAGTTCTATTTGGGCGGCCCGTGGTGGTAGTGGAAAACTATTCTTGCTTGTCGAATGGCCATCGCGACATTAAGAGTGCTTTTGACCTTTTGATCCAAGGTCTGACTCGTTAAACTACGTGGATCAAACCAAGTTATGTTGTTGTCGGCGAGAGAATTGGTGTGTTCAGGGGACAATTCTCCGTAGTACGAACGCTAAAGCGTATGTGGTACTTACGACTGATTTATGCAATATCACAGCAATTCACAGCTTCTGGGCAGCCGCAACAGTGGAATGCATCCAACCATCTTAATTTCTGGTGTGAGACGAAGGCTCGCAGATTTCATCCTTTTCCCGGGCAGACGGAGGTTGCACCGCTACTCAGACATTGTCGAATAGGCGAAACGGACCTTCATCACTTTTTGAAATGTGGTGTCTGTTTGGCTGAGTATGCCTAAGACGAATAAACTGTGAAGCTGACAATCCCCTTGTCACATATGCGCCCAGTGTAAAGCTCTAATCAACCCAGGCCAAGACACACCACAAGCACATGCATGCACACAACACACACACACTGCTCTCATCGGTTCGCCAGTGAAAGGCGGTCGAGTCTCGTTTGATTCTCCAAGCCAAGCAATTTGATTACAGACTTTTCGCCACCAATCTAGGCGGCATCTTCAGTGCGTAATGGTAAGTAGCTTGTTATCAGTTACTCAGATTCGACCAAATCCAGAGGTGATTCCCACATCTCTGAAGTTATTGCTATTTCTGCCAGTTGTTGATTGCAGTGTTTTCTGTTCACACGTGTTTTCCTGCGCTAGGTTTACGAGCTCTATGGAGCAAAAGCTCTTGAAGGTTTACTTACCAAGACTAAGAACTATCACCCGCTTTACACCATCTTCCAAAAACCTCTAAAAATCACTTAGTCCAGGGCGGTATTTAGGTGCTAATTATGATCCCATCTCCAACTGGTGTCTATGTAATATCCTCAGATTCTAATCATGTTTTTCCTACGCCAAAAGTTATAACTTACATTTTTCTTTGTACGCTTCTTTACTTGTGTAGAAGAACATTCCTGCTTTGTTCTACTTGTTTACACGTGAATTTTTGCTACTGTATCGTTAGATTCAGTTTCTTTTTCTTCCACTGCCCCCTTGCTCAGATTACTTTATCAAAGGAGGAGAGCCCTAGCTTTTATCAGCGTGAAGATTACAAAATCGTATACCCTACCAAGGACGGGCATGCTCCATCTCCCAATACTGTGCCAGCTATTTATGATCTCCCTGTCCAATCAGCCATTTGCGAGCCTCTTGACGATCAGGTTCTTCCAAACGAGGGATCAATAACTGTTCGGGGGTACGTTTCATGGGCTCGATTATCGAAAATATGTTTTTACAGATGTTAGCACGCCACCTATCTCATGGCTGTTCAGTAATTATCAGTTTGGTTTTGAGCTCTTAATTGCTGTGGATCCCACTACCAATACTCGCGTAATCAGGTTAATAATATTTAACGATTATCAGGATACTGAGACAGGATATAATTGGACACAAAGTAACCTGGATCAAGCAATAGCGAATGAAGTTGCTCGAAGGTGGAATGCTACTAGCTTGATTAAGGAGACAAATTCAGGAGTGCCATGGGTCCGTGAACGCGCCAAGTCGGACATGACCCACCACGTTACTCCCATCCAAGAAAACCGGTTGCGCTAGCCTAGTTACATCTTTTGGTTACTTTTTTTCCACAGCTGTATGCCGTGTTATTGGCTGACTTCCTCACGGTTTCGCCCAGCCTGGTGCAGCGGTCATATATATAATGTGCTTCGAGAATGGTGGTTGGCAGATGACTGATTTGATGGATACTCCAGTGCGTTGTCAAATTTCTTTTTCTAAACACCAACTGACTCTTTCCAATCTCTCCCACTCCGTGCTCCCAATTTATGTGGGCACGGTTCCGCAAGCATCAGAGATGTGCACTCACTTGGCATCTTCAGTATGAGATGGTCAGAGATCTTGTCCATACATCAACCTCAGCGTTGTCAACCGAAGGCTGAAATTTTGCCATCTCTATTGGTGATTGATAAGTTGAAAATTCACACGAGCCTTGGTGATACGTTAAGTAACTTTTTCATCGGCGTGACCATCAGATGTGTCACAACCACCTGGATTAGTGAACCGATCGGCTGCTTATAGTGGCGTTCCGCAGATATCAGGACTGATGACGTATCAACCCAGTCTTTCCAAATTATCTTTCGCTTCGAAAGTGTGGTGAGTGTACTGACGACGTTTGTGGCTCTCCGCATCAATCTATCCAGAAGCGCATGTACATTAGCTTGGCTCCACATAAGGAGAGCACTGGCCTCTACATATACTGGCTCTGTCGGCTGGTCACCGGGCAAAACTTCCACTCAATAAGCGACGAGATCACCGTCTTTTTAACCATTTGATTACAAACTTCAAGCGAAAGCGGGGTGCAGGACAACTGCAGTGCACCCTATTTGTCAATAACTCAGGAGACAGGTTAGACAATTACCCAGTCTCAGGATTCACAGCGGAGAGAATGGGTTCACCAAAACTTGATTAACACGATGTTCTCCCAATTATACCGCTTTCTTGTCCTTCAGTCCTCTCCTTATTGTTTTAGGCTGCCTACCATTTCTGTATACTCGATGCAATTGCGCTTGTTTTTTTAGTTCCTTCTCTTCAGTTCCGCAGTGTTTGACCTCCCAGACGCAGATCCACCAGCCACTGACAAATGCAACCTATGGATGGCGAAAGCTACGCGGTGGCTAGTGGGACGCTGGCTGGGGGCCTATCAGTGGTCAAACACTGTATTGCGCAACGTTTTCAACAATTTAACTATAACGTTGAATTTTGCTTTCTCTCTTGTAATTCTTGCTTTCCATGATTCCACGAACAGTGCTATTATTATTATTATTTTGCTAGTGATTTCTTCTCTGAGATCTTACATCTTTGTCAATCTTTCACTGCCCTGTCCAGTCAAGAGTCGGTGATTGGGTACACTGCACTTGAGTGCTCACATCACTGCCGAGCAGATAAAGCAATTGTTCAGGTGGCGCAGTTCTGTTGCCGTATTTGTGTAGGCTTTGTCTCAAAATATGCCGCACGTTAGCTCCCCTATTTCGTTCTAATCCTTCTATTATACTTACTAAAACAGGTCTCAGCAATATGTTGGTACTGTGTACCGACCTTCCGCTGCCGCGCCAACACCATAAGTCATACGTGGGTCGTGCGCTCCCTACTCGGGCTCGAACCCACGTCCTCAGGTTACAATGCAGACTTGTGATCCTTAAGGTTACGGGCCGGCCCTCTTGCTCACCGGAAGAGGGTATGTGGAAATCAAAACAACACATAACCCAGTAATAGAGGAGGGCTGTTTAATAGTAAGACCTAGATGGTCTAATAGGCATAGATTGCTTTTATCCTGTCAACCAGCAGCACTTAACAAACAAGTATGACCATTAGAATGTTTGCGCTTTTATTACCCAACACTTACCTTTCCAGGTCTTTGTTACGGCCGATGATTTTAGATGTTTTTGGTGATAATACATCTGTGAGCCCCAATTTATTCTTGTTATTGGTTTCCCTCGAATGCAATTACCAACGGACATCACACAGTTCGCTGCACTCTAAGCTCACCTTTAACGCCTATATTTGCGTCGATCTAGTCCATTCCACTTACATGCTCATGGAATTATAGTCATAATAAATCACGGCAGTTGTTTCACCATCAACGTTACCTATATATACATATAAATACATGGTTGCATTTCCCATCATTTAAACAACACCATCAGGCGTGATTGATTTGCATCTGTACGAAGCAGGTGGTTTGCTCAACCAATCCTGAGGTGCCAACTGAGCGAGGGAATTCTGGTCCTTGAGTCATACACAGCCTAAAGTCGATGCACAATAGTTTTTCAACGCTGCGGCTGGTTCCATTCTGCTCCTTCCGACAGGATCTGTAACACAAATGAAGTGAAGATAAATGTAATGTAACCAACCTCTCATCTCCTAACCGTGCTGGCTTCAGGCTACATCTATCAAAGGATCCGGCGGCTTAAGCGAGCACTGATACCGAACACGCACTGATGCTTGCTACCTTCATGCTGAACACATTTTCTTACGTGTTTTAAATTTTACTTCAGGTGTGGTCTGTGCACTGTGAAATGCATACATGTGCCAGCTTCTATACTTTTTTTACATCTTCAAATGTCCGTAACGAGAGTGTTGGGTCCCTACCTGAGCTGGGTTTTTTTTACCATACTAAGCGATATCATCATTGCAACTCCCAACAACGGCGAAAAGTATGAGCTCCCACTACACAAATTCGCCATGAACATACAGAACTGTTGATGGTGGCCAAATAGTTTCACTGCTGACGAAACCTGCCATTGGACAGCTCAGCTCGGTGAGCAACCCAACATCCCATCCACATCTCTCGCCGCATATATTCTCAATAATTGGTGCCAGTGTTCTTTTGAACGTACAATAGGTTTAGTGCTTCTAAGGGTCTGATCCAAAATCGGTATTTTTTTACTTGAAAACCAAATCTCTTTAGGAACAATTAGATGTTTTTGTTCGAATCCCATGACAACGAATTTTCAGCGTTTTCATGATACCTCGCTGAACGCTAAGCGGTAATTTTAGTACAGTGCAACAGCTCTAATGTGCACCTTTGTTCTTGCTTCGCGCTCTTCCCAGTTACGCGTTCAGTGGCGGTGGCCGCGGTATACTCTCGGTGAGAGTGACGACTGATGACGGCAAAACTTGGCACGAGGCATCATTGAGGCCCATCAGTCCCCCAGCTGGAATCGATCCCTCCCATCTACCATCTGATGATCTTGCGTTGACACATCGAACACGACAACAGTGGGCATGGACTTTGTGGGAAGTGGAAATTCCAGTGGATGGTAAGTAGCAGTTACGAATTCGCCTTGTGCTCTGCCTTATTTCTACCCGATAGTTTTTTTTTCATTTATCCATCTGTCTGTGAAACTTGAATTTTTTAACCATTGCAATGTTCACATACCTAAATACTGTATCACATTGTATCTGTATATTTAAAGCATATCTGGCTTCTAAATCGCCTAAGTAGTTAATTCGCCAGTCTTCAATACCCATCTCAAACATTTTTCATGACAGTGAACTGCCCGTTTTCAACCGAGGTTAGGATATACAACAACAAAGATATTACTTTGCTGCCGATCAGGGGTATGGGGACGCAATTTGGAAATGGCATGAAACTGCTCACGTGCAATCGCCAGCTACTGCTAGCGTTTTATCACATCAGACACAATGCGCTTGTGAGCACTATTAATGTTCGACCGTTAGTGTTCGTTCCAACGAGTCACACTAAACCGCTGGTTGATCACGGATCGCCTCCGTTCGGTGATCACTTCTAACCCGTGCACCGAAAGTGCGGTTTACTCAAATGCTTGTGTTCTCATCCACAACCAATGTCAATATAATCACGCAATGATAGCACCAGAGTAACGTGGCTTCTGACAAAAGCGCTCATGCACTACAAACCTGCCAATTGTACGCAATAGCTGGACTGAAGCAATTGATGGTGGAGCAGGAGTTGATGCCATTTACTTGGACTTCTCAAAAGCGTTTGATCGTTTAGACCACCGAATTCTCCTCCATTAACTACAGTTCTTTGACGCTGGTGACCCACTGCTGCGTTGGATAGGCAATTTCCTGCACGAATGTCGGTTGGAAGTGAGAGTACACGAATCCCTGTCCGACGCAATTGAGATGGTGTGCGGTGTACCACAAGGCTCGGTGCTTGAGCCCCGGCTATTTTTGATTTTGATAAACGATTCGGCGATGGAAATTGCTTTCGACTTCCTATTCTTCGCGGATGATATTAAGTTACGGTGAGCCATCAAAGAACGATCACGAAAAGCTCCAGCGTGACCTCAACACTATTTCAAACTGGTCAGTTTTTATTACACAATCGTTCAATGTGGAAAAATGTCACGCTGTTCAATTGCGCCATAGGCATGACTACCTTTATAGCCTTGGGTCACATGTATTGCGAACAAATTCCCAAGAAAGTGACATAGGTGTGCTCATTCAAAATGACCTTAACTGTCCAAAACAGTCAGAGGCAGTCGCGAAGAGAGCCAAAAAGCACGTCGGCTTGTTGCAGAGAGCGTTCAGAAGATTCGACCCATCCATCTTCTCCATGATGCACAAGTATTACGTGTGCGCTCATGTTGAATACGCCATCCGAGATTGGCAACCTTGGTTGAAGCAACACTTAAAAGTGCTAGCTAAACCACAATGCAGGTCACTGGGAGTTTTCAGTGGCCGCTACCGAAGGCTGCACGACGATCTCATATTAATCTACCAAATATTATGTGGCCCGAATCACGTATGCCGTCAGTTGCTGAAACTCAGACAAAACACCAAACTCAGAGGTAACCCTCTGAAATTGTGTGCACTGTGTAACCGCCTGGAAAGCCGACAGAATTATTTTTCCCTTCGGGTTTGCCAACCGTGAAACTCTCTCCCAAACTTCGTTGTTTCCTCCCCGACTTCGGATGTTTCCATAAAATGTTTGGGTCTTTCCCTTGATCCACATCGCTTTATTGCCTAAACTGTGTAATTTTGGAATGTATTAGCTATCCCTCCAAACCGGATTAGCACGTTACGTAAACCTGAGACTGCGGGACAGAAGTGAGTATTGTCGTTTTAACTTCTTACTTATCTCACCGAGTACAACAACTATAATTGTCCCTAATGGAAATTGGGTGTTGCCCACCCGAAAACACTGCACAACCACGACGTGTTTCGATGTAATTTCATCTCATCAGGTGGAGACAGCAGGCCTCTATCCCGCGACCATTGGAATAGTAGCCGAAACCTCTACCCCTTTGGCTACCGGGTCACCATGGGCAACGCTTGGCACAACGGTAATGGCTAAATGGAGGGTCAAGTTTGGACTACACGTTGTGTGATTGGATTGCGACGCGCAATCTCAATGTAATGGACTGTGGTTCACATTGAAGTGAACCTTAGTCACGGCGATCACTGGGACCGTACTTAAAGCAAATGGAAATTGGGTGTTGCCCACCCGAAAACACTGCACAACCACGACGCGTTTCGGTGTAATTTCATCTCATCAGATGAAGACAGCAGGCCTCGATCCCGTGACCATTGGAATAGTAGCCGAAACCTCTACCCCTTTGGCTACCGGGTCACGATGGGCCACGCTTGAGATTGCGCGTCGCAATCCAATCACACAACTTGTAGTTCAAACTTGACCCTCCAATATAATTGTCCCTGTTTTGTCTCGTGGTTCGCATTCAATTCCCACTTACACCACCATCATTCAGCATCATATCTGCTAGCTAAACGCTCAAACAGACAACTCACCTTTCGTTTGCTAATTGTAGTTTTACCACCACCATCTTGTGGGACTTGTCAAGTAACTGCTTATTTTTACCAGGCATAAGTCATTTTTCATAATTATTAACAAATCAGGAATACAAAGACAAATCCTTAAATTCTCACATGCAAGCATGAGTCAGAACTATGGGGACCTATTCACGAGCACAATTGACTGCTTGACTGCACCACATCTGGAGGTTATCCAAACGTTTCAGTGGCTGTTACCCCTTTCGTCGTCTTAACGAATCTCTTTACGTAGCTGCTGGTCAGTCGTGTCGATGAATATCTTGTGTCATCAACCATTTTAAGGCATTCCCTAAAGGTATATTTTATTGCGGAATAGGGGGGTTGGATTGCATAGGTAAAAATTCGTCACATCTTGGCTCATTCAGATGGAATGCGCACTGCTGACGATTCCCGAAAAGATGCAACGGCCGTACAGTACGTTTCCGGACGTGCGATGCCTGTCTGTGTGAGTCTAGATGTGACCAATTTCTAACTACGTATATTTTATTATGTGTAATAAAGACACGGTGAGACTGCTAGTTTGACTAAGTCCGGTTGGCATATATCGTTCTCCTGGATAAGGCACAGGATTGGTGGCTGGTTGGGGTTGACAACTTTATTCATTGCGGTTCAGTTACGTGACCAGCCTCTAAACGTTAAGCACTAATCATTACTTTCTGAAGGAACAACCGTGTTTCCTGACAATTTTCTGTCAGTTTGGTAGTTTGTTGTTTGCCTATCTTTCGTGCCCACACATTTTTCTTTGCTTCGGTTATCACCCGCAATAATAAAGCCGACTATACCGTACTTAAGCAACTTCTCACAGTCGATTAGATAAAGTGACCAACTGAATTCCCTAAACAACATATCAGTATACGCTATGGCGTATTGAGCTCTCGTAATACCTGCCATTTTTCATTTCGCACCATTATACTCCCTTCAACGTAAGCCATTTATGAAAACACTAGAACATGCTAGTATTTATTATGGCGCCCTGACAAGATTCCTATCTCTCTGGCACTTGCGAACAATCAGTTCGCATCACAACCCCTCTTTGAACTGTATGGGCCACTGCTTATCATTTTTATCGGCGTGACCCCATTCTTTGAGCTCAGTCAGCTGTTATTTTTTCGACCCGGCGCTACCGTGGAGTTTACAAACGCGTTCCACCCATTTCCTTCTACAAATCTCTCGATTTTCATTTTAATGTTGTGATTGTGCCACCAAGGGGGCACACAATATATCCGAGTCATTCCCTTCGAAGCAGCCAATCAGTTTGACCAAAGTTGAAATCAGCAGAGAAGGAGTAGGAGTAGCGCCGCAAAATGCATTCGTCGAAGCGATGCCGAAGTCACAACAAGCTGCTCGAAAATCTCAGGGGCATTACTTTGTGGACAAATCTATGACCACCAGGCTCGTCAATGTTTGACTCACTGACACGACATGCTATCTGAATGATTTACTCCTCACTTTTACAGCATAGGATGATATCTTCGCCTTTCAGCACTGTGGTTAAGAATTCACCGTTGAACTTTTATGTACCAACTGCACATCTGGATTACTTCGCGCCATCTCAACTTTAGTGGTGACTGTTTGCAATACCTACATCCTTTCGATCCCTGAGACTTCGTCTGCAACTTTTAAACTTGATGAAACTGCCTCAAAATGCACACTACTTCAAATATGCAAAATTGATTTGCCTTCGAATATCTGAGATTGCGATTAGTCCATCACTTCCAAACTTACTTCAAAGAACCGTGAGGACCGTCCCCCCAGAGTTAAACGGATGCACTCCAACTCATCGGGTACTTGTTATTTTGGGATATGCTTTGAACATGTGTGATCATACTAAGGATCGAAGGCTTTTCATCCTGAACTGCAGGTTATTTTGTTGATTACTCTAATGTCTAGTCCAATAGCATCTCTCACCCCCATTGCTTTCAACATTTTTTGTTGAGTGCTTCTTTGAAGCGAATTTGGCCAACTTTTGAGCGCAGCTAAACACCGTTGTGAACAAGCCGGTCTGGAGATAACGTTGCAGGGTCCTTCTCTTCCTCTTCTCTAGCTATCAAGTCACATTGGTCTTCTAATTTCTCTCACCGTTCACCACTAGCTCTGCCCGTTCTCACGCTGAAAACTTGTCCAGAGCCCCTACCTCACTGAGTTAGGCCTGTTTATATGATACGACAGTCACTCATATGGTCTTCCTCAAGAATTTTCACTCATATATTATCTGCCTTTATGTTTTCGCCACCAATCGTCTTACAATATGATGCTTTGTACCTACTGCGTTCCTTCTACGTCTACTTACCCTCGCACCTATGGTTCTGAAAGCCGAAATCTACCGTGCACTTTCGTTTGAGTGGTATCCAAATTGTACTCAGGCTAATCGCATGTGCTCTGCACTTTTTAGCCGCATTCGACGCATGTGCATGTGAGCAATCGGCTGCTTTGAGCAAAGTGCACTCTTGTGTAACAACTTGCATGGACTCCCTCCATGAATTCA